CCATCAAAAATATATATAATCTAGAGGCTGTTGCAAAACCCTTACTTGTCTCTCAGGAGTCTCTGGCCTTACCCAGACCTGGATGGATAGTCTTCAGTCTGGTCTTGCTCATTGTGCTTCCTTCATCCCATTGAGGTGTTCTCTGTTGGTTTCTAATGTGGTAAAGGCCTTAGATATATTTCAGGCCTTAGAGATGTCAGAAGTCTCTGGAAACCATTCTCTAGTTACTTTAACATTAATTGCCTCTCAGCATGTTAAAAGAACATTCTTCCACAAGTTAGGAATCAAGATAGGGAAGGAAAGCAACTCTTTCATTCTACGCTAATCTTTATTTACTTCATACTTAGAAAAGGCATCACTCTTCTAAATTGAATTTATAATACAAATGGTAACAATGACAGAGCCACCTGGCTATCCTTAGTTCTTTTTTCCAAATGACAGCAAAGCTATTGTTTGCTTTAACTTGCCTCATATTTCACAACCAGTTTAATCATTTTGCAAATTTGCTTTAGAAGAGACTCAGTCTAGTTTTTCAGGCTGAGATGTCAATTTCTGTTATTGACATTACTTTCTGTGACTTATTTGATAGTGCGATGAAAATTTGCCATTTGCAACAAATTGGAACTCGGTGTGAAGATAGAAAAATAAAGAGTTATTGGAGGATCTCACTTACATGTATAGTGTAAGGAAACAAAGCAGATGAATGGACCAAAAAAAGAGTAAACTAATAGACATTGCTAACTGAACTAAGGTTTTCAGAGGTGAAGAGGGGGAAACAAACATGCAATTATGTCTTGTATGGCCTAATCTCATAACTTTAATTTTTTAAAGCTACTAGATAGAACAGTAATAATTCCTTACATGTTTATGAGTTTCAGTACTTAAGGATATCAAATTTCAGCATTTCTGTGAAGAAAGCAGGGTAAGTGTTTATATGTCTAGGAAATGAAGATGTTATTACACCTCAGAATTGACTTAAGATAGAAGACAGACGTCTCCCTTGGAAAGACGGTTAGCACTGATTGACAACTCCCATTATTGCTCTGGTATGCTATTCAGTACAACCAGCAGGTGGCGCCTTAGCTTTAGTAGGCCTCTGAAGCTGTTAAGAATTGAAGTGCAGTTACAAAATTATTGATGATCAATCAAAAAAAAAAAAAAAAGGAACAAGTGCCCCTTGTGATGGTGAATGCAGGGAACTTTCACCAAAATTTTACTTCTAGAAAAGCAATTGCTCTGTGGATTGTTTAAATATCAGTTACTCTTGCTTGTAATTACCCCCAAATTTAGTGGTTTAAAAGAACAATGCACATTAATTATCCTCAGAGTTTTTATGGGCAGGAATTCAGGAATGGCTTAACAATAATTTTAGATTTGCAGTCAAGGTGCAGTCTGCTGTCACCTAAAGGTGGGGTTGGGGTTGGAAGATCCACTCCCAACATGGCTTGCTAGTCACGTGACACTGGGCAAGAGACCTGTTTCTTTCCATAGGGGCCTCCCAATAGACTTCTTGAGTGTCCTCTCTTCATAGTGGCTGGCTTCCCAGAGAGAAGGCAACTCGAGAGCGCAAGGTGTCACAGCAATGTCTAACCTCACAAGACACACTTTTCCTTTATTTTTTATTTTATTTTGTTAGTAAAATGGACCAAACCTCATACATTGTGTGTATGTGGGGGAACCACAAAAGGGCATCAGTAACTGGAAGGTAGAATTCTGGAGGCCATATTGGAAATTGGCTATCACGTGGAGACACTGGATGAGTGGATGAATAACAGAAGAATTAGAGAGAACTTAGATTGAACAAAAGATAAGATTGTCTGAAAGTGTGGGACAGTGGATCCAAAGTACAGGTTAATGGGTTGAGTTTGATTTTTGAGGTCTAGAGCATACAGCTTTAGTGAGGTTATAAAACTGAGATAAAGGGAGAGTGGGCATCTTTTGTCTCTCTCCCTTTTTTTTTTCCTCTTAAGAAAATCTGCTTAACCACATTCTATCATGAACACCTGGTTACCTTTTTTTGATCTTATTTCTTCTTCCTCCATACCCTCTACTCTAAAGTCCTATCCATTTCCATTATTGATTTAGAAACCTAAAGTATTTTGGGACATGCTGTTACAATCCCCTATACTGGTGACCTACAAGAATATTCTGAGTGACCACTTGCAACTTAGACATAAATTCATCCACCATTGGATTTAAACTGCTGATCTGGAGGACATTCCTTACACAGATACTCTCTACCTCTGAGAGCTGATGAGAAAATGAAATGCAAAGTATATAAAGTTCTTGGCACATACCATAAATTTGAAAGTGGCCAATAATATTGGTATTAGTATTATTGACTTAAGACACATTCATAATCTTCTACTCTTTAAAAAAATATGTATAGGATTGTAGCAATCTATATTTAAGCCAGGCAGAACACACTTTTTAAAGTTTTTCCACTGGTTGTAGTTTGTACTCCAAGATTTCTTTCACACTGGTGTTATGGTCAAGCACATAAATACTCTAATTCTGCATTGTACTGCATCTGCAGTGCTGGTAGCAGCAACCTGTCCCATGTTTGAAGCACACCAAATTGAGGGTATCAATAGATTAACAATAACAGCAATAGTTGGCTGATTATTCCCATCTTTTCTATGAAACCCCAGTTTTACAATCTGGAGGATTGTAAAACTTGTACTAAAATAGTTTTTCCTGTGGGAGGTAGTTTAGAAGCCACCATTTTCCTTCTTTCCCATATGTGGGTGCATTTGTATACAGGTGTGTGTGTGTGTGTTTTCTTATCATTGCCAATGTCAGTGACTGCTGTGTCACCAGTAATGAAGGGAGGGAGGAAGAGGAGTGGATAAGTGGAGCCAAAGAGGATCAATTGTATGGTTATAGATGAAAACTAGACTTTTGGTGATGAACATGGTATAGCCATTAAGGGTATTGATTTATAATACTATATACCTGAAAACCTGTGTAGTGTTATAAACCAATGTTACTTCAATAATTTTTTTTAAAGATTTATTTATTTGTGCATAGAGAACTGGGGTACAGGCCAGAGGCACAGGGGTGGTGAGAGGCTTCACCAGAGACAGAGTGGGGAGCAGAACAGGCAGATCCATGAAGTATACTGCTGAGGGGAGCAGCGGGAGGGTCAGGAGAGGTCTGCCACACCATGTGGTCACCTCCGGGGCAGGTGGGAATCGAACTCATGCGGAAACTGCTTTAGATTCTCAGTGCTGTGCTTTAACTTGCTGCGCCACCAGGGAGGGCCTCAATAATTTTTTAAAGAAAAAAATATGGACTGAGGGTAGGATTAGAAAAAGAAACATACCAATATTTGCAAATATCATTTACCTATATTGACTCTATAATATAAGCAAACAAGCTCCCTTACACTTAAAATACAAATATTGTCTGATAATTTTGTTTGGTTTCTCTTGCTCATGGATGGTAATATTTTTTTATTTTTTATTTATCTTTTTATTATATTTTTTTATTTTTTTACATCGTTCTTCACTTTATACATTTTTTCATCTCTGTTGTAATCCCCATGGACTTCCACCACCATTTCACACGTATGCCATCACCACAGTCCAACTGCCATCACCACAGTCCAGTGCACTCTTCTCACTCCAGTTCCAATCACATTCCTCCTTCTACCTCGTTAAATGTCTCTGGTTTATAGTGTCTATGATAATTTGAATGTTCTATCTTTTTCCCGAAAATGATGGCAAAAGTGGTTTGTTTGCTTTAATTTGACCCATCTTTCGTAACCCAGTTAATTATTTTACAGACCTCCTTTTGAAACACATAATCTGCATGGTCAGATAATAGTGGTAGATTTTTGCCATTTCAATAATATATTCATGAAACACCTTTAGTAAAATTTCTCTATTAAATTTCCTTTACATCCCTTTTCTTCCTAATTAAGTCAGTAGTTATAGTGTTGGCACAATTGAACCAGAACATAAAGCATCTGAGTTATAGAAAAACATTTAGAGAAATAAGTTTCATTACTTTAGATTATAGCAGCTACTATATACTATGGTAGAAATGAATGCCAATAGAGGGAAGATAGAAATGAATTTCTACTTAATTTAAAACATAAAAATCTTAAAGACAAAATTTTATTTCACTATAAGTTAATTCTAGACTTAGTTGTTATAGGAAGCTTTTCCTTGAGCTCTTATATTAAAATTATCAAAATACTCATTGAGCATTAGAACAAGATTTTTTTTTAAAAGAAAGATTTAATGTGTCTGAATGAGGCAAATGCTTTGAGGCAAATGCTGAAGTAGTGATATCTGATTTAATAGATATTGGAGGGTATCAATTTCCTACTAAATACTATGGCTTCTGGTTACTTTTTTCTTAGACAATGATGACAGCAACTTCAGTACAGCATTTTCCTTGTTAGTCATAAAGAAATCTTGCCTTTACCTAATTTTCATCTGGTTTTCTAGGTGGCACAGACCACAGAATTATCCCTTAGATTTCCTTTGCAGACGCAATTTTTCTTTAGTTCATTTCTAGTGCCAATACCATCAATTAGGTCTTCTAGAAATACCATGATGTATATCCCCTGACTATGCCAGGCCCATTTTAAATCTCCTCAGTGGTCTTTGTCAGAATCAGAGTGGATCTCCCAAAGACATGATCACAGGCCATACAACTTCAGAGTAATTGCCCTGGTCAAGAGAGCAAAGACCAAAGGCAAGGTGGCTTACTGGCTTCCAGCTTTGAGCTATTTATTGTAGCACCAAACTCCCATGTAAGAGTCCCTGTGTTTGTATTAATTAAAATACATTCTCTAAGTGCAAATCATTTAAGATACTTCCCACCTTTATACCTCGACTTTAAAGGATGTGAGGGTGTAAGTTCCAATCTTAGTTTTCCTATTTTGAAATCCCTCTTCATGACATTAATAATTAACCACTAAACTGACGTAACCAACTTCTCCAAGCTTGGTTTATTTAAAAGGAGAGTAATATCAAGAAGGTTATATCCTTGGTTTCCTGCTACCTCCAGCCATGGGCCTTTGGGGCCTACTTTGTTTTATATTCTTCTTGGGGAAAAGTTGGGCACAGGAACAAACGTAAGTAAAAGAATCCATTTTCATTTTTCAGTGCATCTTAGTTGTGGTAAGGGAAAAAGCAGACTGCTAATTTGAGCATAACTTTCTTCTTCTGAGAATGTCAAGGGAGTAGTCTCATCTCAGAATGAGAAAGTCATGAAAGCATTTTGATTTAATAGGCAGCTAACAACATGGCAGTTTTATGGGATTGTTATTTGTAAAAATCCCATAAGGAATTATTAAATTCCTCTTCAAAAAAAACAAGAGAAAAAAGAGATAGTGACTTTTAGTACCAAAGAGGAGCTGGAGAATCCTGCCTCATTCACTTATAAGTCATGTGACCTGGATCAAATCAACCCTTACCACTTGGAAAATAGAAATTGAAATAGTACCTACATCTTGGCTTTTATTGCTTATTTCTACTTGATGCATAGTTTTCTTTGTGTTTTTCATGTACTGAACATAGGATGGCTTCAGGATCAATTCTAATATCAATTGAAAATTATTATTACTTCTAAATATATGAACTAATTCTTTACAAATTTTAGCATTCTATTGAAATACTGTACATTTTAAAGTGCCTTGAAAATGGTGATCTCATATCTAGAAATAGTCTTTTAATGCTGGAAACAAATTGGAGAGTATATAATCAAAGTGTGTCAAGTATTAAGTATCAAAGTATACTTAAAATGTCATAAATATAATAACACTCCTCTCCCCAATCTAGTTTTCTTACAACCACCCCTTTACCTTAGTTTTTATTTGTTCCTTTTTGGAAGACAGACAACTGGAGTTCAGAAACATTAAGTGAGTTAAATTAGTACTAGGACTAGGACTAGAAACTAGGGCCCATGAGTCTTATCTAGACTTACTCTGAATTTTTTCTATGAGGTTATCCTGGTCCTTAATAAGGATCCTGTTTTCTCTGACAAAGTGAGAGTGTACAACTTACAACATGGTAATCAATCACTTTAATTAATCAGTTGATTATTCAATAAGAATTTGTTGAGCCCCTACATGTGATAGATACTGGGGGGTATAGTAAATGGTATAGAGTTTGCATTCTAGCTGGGCAGTAAATAATGAGTGAATGGATGAATAAATAAGGTCAGATAGTTATTAGTGCTATAAAGAAAAACATAAAAGAGAGTAGGAGCATAACAATGATGAGGTGCTATTTAGAAATGTGGAAAGGCAAGGCTCTAAGGAGGTAACACTTTGAAGGACATAAGGGTACAAGGCATGGGAATAGTTGGGGAAGGAACATTCCATATAGAGGCCAAAGTAACGTTCTTACCTCTCAGCCAACTCAGTGGCAGATCCTCTGCAGCTATTGAAAGAAAATGAGCTCATGAAATTATTTATTTGAGTAAGTGGTACTACTGTAATCAGTAAGGACCAAAGTATGTACAAAGGGTGGTTCCAGAAGCATCTTTTGGGGACTTGAAACGCCAAATATTTTGTTTCACCTCCACCTCCACATAAACAACTTAAAATTAAAACAATAGTAAACTGAAACATATAACTTCTAAGAACACTGAAATTAAAATAGGAGGTTTTTTTTCTTTAGGTTTTTCTGATGGGAAAATCAGAATCAATTTAGTTTGTGTAGCAGTTGAAAGTGTTAATTAAGGAAACAGGCCATTTCAGTTCAGTTTCTACTTCTATGATACCAGTTGTGTGAACTTGGGCAAATTAACTATCAGTTTTCTCATCTGTAAAATGAAGGTAATAGTAAGATCTTCCTTGTAGAGCAATTCTAGCAACAGAGAGAGAGAGAATGTGTGTGTAAGAAGTGCTTAAAATAGTACTTAGCACAAAACAACCTTTCAGTGTACCTAATCATCAAAGCTGAACTTTTCTCATTTTCTGCTGGTCCTGACTAAGTACATAGGGAATTCAGATGATGGTTAGAAGTTTGGAGATTCTTTTCCCTCATACAATTTGCCTACAAGTGATTCCCAATACACAGCCTATAGGAGAACTGCCAGATATTTTAAAGGATTTATTGCTTCTGAATTAGTTTCATTGCTACCAAAGATTTACTGATTTAAAAAGATTCTTTTAAATACCATAGTATTGACAGGCACCCACAGTAATTTGATGGGGTGGGGTGGCTTTGCCTCCAAGTCTATTTTTCTATTTGAATTAATCAGTTACCTTTTGGGTTGAGATACGCTTCTTTTTCTATTTAGTAGAGTATATAGCTTTCACGATTCAGACTGAATGCTTTTGTATTATATAATTAGTAATGTAGTTTACATGCATATAAATGAATGAACAATGAAAAATTTGCATTGAAAATTTGGTATGTAATTTCATTCCCATTCTTGCATAAATCATATGAAAAAAATAAAACAGAGGAACAGAAGATTGTGAACATAATTTGTATGTTCACAATACAAATTATAAAGTCCTACCTCAGTCACATACCAAGTAGCAGACCCAGGTCAAGTTAACCTCTCACCACTTGTAAAATAGGAATAACAATAGTACCAACATCATTGAATTGTTGTCAAGATTAAAAGACTAATATGTAAAGTGTTCATACAGGTGCTCATATCTGGCAAGCACTCAGTTGTCATTATTTTTGCCTATGATTGCTGTTTCCAAGGGCCCACATTACTACCTCCATTTCCAAGTGTATTCCCTCAGCTCACTTATCTGCTATCCTTTCTTTCATCTACTTTCTAGTATAACACACAATTCTATGATTACTTCCTTTCAACTAATGTAGAGATTTATTATCTTAATATTTATTGAGTACTGAGCTTGCTAGGCACTTTCATGTACATATGTTCATTCCATCCCTCGTGCAGCCTGGTAAGAAAGATGAGTTTTTCACAGGTAAACTACTGCAGTCCATTAGAGAGTTGGTGACTTTACTATAGTCATTCAACCAATAGGGGGCAGGGCTGGAAAATTCCATCACTTATGCTTATGTTACTTTTTCTTCATTGGGAAAAATATTGGTCCTATGTATTTGTTCCAGTCAACACCATTAAAAGTTTTCCTTTCCTGCAGCCACTTAGAGTAGATGCTATTACCTTACTAACCTCCCAGCTTTATTTTTCAGGTCTTAGTTCACAGCTATTTCTTCTCTTTATTTTTCTTTTAGTTTTTAAAAATTACTTATCTTTTATTAAGTATTTTTTTATTTATATAGTTTACATCATGGTATATTCCTTGTAAAATTCCCACCACCAATTCACCGTTGTACCATCACCATAGACCCTTGCACTCTTCTCTCCCCTTCCCTGATCCTTTTCTTTCCCTTTCATCCATCGTATAATGTCTCTTATCCATGGTTGCCTGCTAGTTTTGTTTTATTACCATCATTATTGTTTTTATCCCTTGCCCTCTTACTTGGTTCTCCTAAATTCCTCCTGTAAGTGAAACCATTTGATATTTTTCCTATTCCTTCTGGCTTATTTCACTGAGTGATCTCGTCTAGCTTCATCCATGTTGCTGTGAATGGCATGAATTTATCTTTTTGATTGTTGAATAGTATTCCATTGTGTATATATACCACATCTCCTAGATCCAGTCATTTATTTTTGGGCACTAGGGTTGTTTCCATATCTTAACTATTGTAAATAGGGCTGTAATAAAGACAGAGGTGCAGAGCTATTTCTTTTTTAAAACTTCTTGGGTAATACTGAATTATCATAGGTTACAAGTAAGTTTTGTCTTTAAAATATCATTTTTAAATTGAGAAGTGGTTCTATTTTAAATTGAATCTCAAGTGAGAGACAAAAATTCAGACAATACAAGACATATTTAAATATACTGATCCTTCTCTTTTTCAACAGGTATGTCATTTCAGCACCAAAAGTGTTCCGTGTTGGAGCCTCTGAAAATATTGTGATTCAAGTTTATGGATACACTGAAGCATTTGATGCAACAATCTCTATTAAAAGTTATCCTGATAAAAAATTCAGTTATGCTTCAGACTACGTTCACTTATCCACAGAAAATAAATTTCAAAACTCTGCAATCTTAACAGTATGTATTTATCCTTTATTTACACCCAGGCCATGTTCTCAAAATATGTACAAAGTTTGAGTATTGCTAATACAGACATCTGATTCCTAGTATCACTGTGTGACTAGTTGCCATCATCAGTCACTGATGATAAAGTAGGAGAAACAGAAAGCTGTAAGTAAAAGTTTTTCTGATTTTTTGATCAATGTAAACTGTAATGTTCCTTTTGGGAAATAAAACTATACTAATTTGAAAATATTTGGAGATGATTTGAAAAAACTTGTTTACTGTGAAAATTATTAAATAGAGAAATATGAATATGCATGTTGATCTGTAGTGCGCACTGCCTACAAAATCCTATAGTTGCTATTGAACATTTGTTTAAACTCCAATCTTTTATAATTATAGCTCCCAAAACTAATAAAATTGGTTATTAAAGTGAATAGTTCTCATTAACTAGTAGTTAATATTATAATGTGGATTGAATAACTTTTCCTTCCAAGATATTTTGATATGGTTTTTAGAGAAGTATTTGCAACTCATTTCCTATTAAAAGTTATAATAGCAAAAGATAATTTACATGCTTGTATTTATGAGGGAGTAATTATAGCCAAAATATTGTTTAAATTCTAGTGTAGCTTCAAAAATAAAAAGCTAGAAAATCAAATATTCCTAGACTTAGGAGGGGAGTTGGGTTTTATTTAGACCAGAGTTTCTCAAAATTGATTTCTCTAAAAAGAAATTAAAATTAGAAATTTAAAAAAAACCTTAAAATATTGATTTTTAGCATTTTGAACTCATTTTGTAATTTTAAAAAATTATAAGTAGATAAAAATCATGCACAATGAGACTAAATGCAAGATTTATTTACTATTTTAGTAAATAAATTTACTACAGTACTACTTTTTAAATATTAAATCTTCATATTTTTTTGTTTTATAATCTTAAAATTACCATATTCCTTTTCATCAATATTTTCCTTCACAGATACAACCTAAACAGTTATCTGACAGACAAAACCCAGTTTCACATGTATATTTGGAAGTTGTATCGAAGCATTTTTTAAACTCAAAAAAGATTCCAATAACCTATGACAATGGATTTCTCTTCATTCATACAGACAAACCTGTTTACACTCCAGACCAGCCAGGTAGGATGTAAGTTGCTTCTTTGGGAGGATATGGGGGAGGGGGGTGGGGAATTGGACTTATGTAGAAGAGCTTTTTAATACTTGGATTTAAATGGATTCAGGTTTCCAAACTGCTAACTAGTTTTAATTCCCAATGACTTTTACAATTACAAATACCAATTTAATTTTAAATTTATCTGGAAATTGCTAAATCATCAAATGCAATGTAATTTTAAATTTGACTTTAAATGTGAATTTTAAATTCATATGGATATCAGCAATTTCATTATCTACCCTATCAGTTATTTCCAAGTATAAAAAAAGCTCTCTGAAATTTGTGAAATGTGTTAGTTACATCTTGATTATCAAACAAATGTAAGATACAACTGAAAATATAATTTTGGCAATGGGAAAAGAACTCATCTATAAACATGTTCCTAAAGAGCAGTTCTACTGGCATTGGAACTAATCTTTGAATTTAGAAAACAAATCCAGCTCTGTGGGATGAACTGTTTCTCCTTACTCATTTCCTAAGGAGATCTACCTAAGAAAATTTCTGTAACAGTTTCATATTCATGCTTCTTTGTTAGAGGGGGCAAGAGGTAGAATGGCCAAACTCCACAACTGAAAAATGACTGGACTTATTCCTGGTCAACCTAAAGTAAAACAGAAAGTGTGAATGCTGCCCAGATGTGTTCACATGTCTGCAAAGTTTTTGGTTCCTCTGGCTCTCCCTCTCACCATCACTTGCTTTCTAGCATATAAGGGTGGAATTATGATACAGCTGTGGCATATGTGGCAGGGGGGTGGTTATGGATTTCAATGATGATATTATTCAGTAAAGCACAGAAGAAAGAAGGCAAATCCAGCCAGCTTTGTTGAAAACCTTTCACACATGTATACTTGCTAGGTGGTGATTGATGATGATAGTAGAGTGAAGTTGAACATGCCTGTACTGTTATCACTTAAGCAGAAGTTGATTTTTGATCAATTTAAAAGGCAAGGCTGAAAGAGTATGGGATATTGTCACTGGCTGTGACAAAATATCATTGCCAGAATAGTGCCATCTCTTGACTCCAAGAAGATAAATTGGTACATGAGGAAATATTCTCTACCCATAAAGCGTGGACCCTTTCAAACATATTCATACCTAGAAACAAATACATCTCTCTTTTCTTCATTCTGTGTTAGAGGCTGGTTCATTAATTAGGTTCCTTTGACATTAGCTACTTTTTAGGGTTCTCAGTCTGTCCAGTAAGTAGTCTGATGGTCAGAACCTGAATCCTTCCTTAGCTATCAAGATTTTTCTTAAGAACAGCTTCACTTATTAGTTATATATCAGTTTTTACTGTAAGTAGATGTGGTATCTTCATCTATTCTAACCATAGAAGAAAACTAGAAAATTTTCCTCCAGATATTGAACCATTACTGAGAGCTGATGATGTATAATGGTTAAAAAGCAGACTTCAGAGACAAATTGTCAAATTGTCTGGATTCAGATTTCACCTTGGATTATTTTTGTTATATAAATTATTTATATATATTTTACATCATTGTTCTTTTTTTTTTTTTTTGACAATATTTGCTTTCTTTTCTCAGGTATAGTCCCCATAATACTTCTACCACCAATTCATCCTTGCATCATCACGATAGTCCCTTTTGACCTTCCCACCCTCGTTTTGAGCCTTCTTCCTCCCCTCCCCCCTGTAGAATGTCTCTGATTTACAGTTGTCTGCTTATTTTTGTTTTGTTGTGTTGTGTTATTATTGTTTTATTTTCCCCCGATCCCTTATTTGGTTCCCCTATAGTCTTCCTATAAATGAAACCATTCATTATTTTTCCTGTTCCTTCTGACTTATTTCACTGAGCATAATCCTTTCTAGCTCCATCTGTGTTGCTGCGAATGGCATGAATTAATCTTTTTGATTGCTGGATAGTATTCCATTGTGTATATATACCACATCTTCTTGATCCAGTCATCTATTTTTGGACATTTGGTTATTTCCCTAACTTACCTGTTATAAATAGTATTGCAGTAAAAAAGGGGTGCAGGTATCTTTTGAATTAATGTTTTTGTGTCCTTTGGGTGGATCCCTAGGAGTGGAATTGCTGGGTCATATGGTAGCTCCATTTAAGTAGTCTGAGGAACCTCCACACAGCTTTCCATAGTAGTTGGACTAATTTACATTCCCACGAGCAGTGTAGGAGAGTTCCTCTTCTACCACATCCTCACCAACCATTTGTTGTAGCTAGTTTTCTTAATATGTGCCATTCTCACTGGTGCCCAGGGTTACATAAGGAAGCTGCCAGAAGTAGGAGAGAAACTAAGATTTTTAACTCTAGGGCCTGTGCTCTTAACTATATGACTTACTGCCTTTAACCACTAACTAACATGCATTTCCCTGATTATGAGGGATATTGAACATTTTTTCATATGCCTGTTGGTCATTTGCATTTCCTCTTTGGAGAAGTAACTTTTAAGTTCTTTGCCATTTTTTTTGCTTGGATTGTTTTGTTGAGTTATGTCGGTTCTTTGTATATCTTTGTGATCCATCGCTTATCAGTTGTATGTAGTACAAAAATTTTCTCCCAATCAATAGGATGACTCTTTGTTTTGGTTAATGTCTCTGTTGCTGTACAGAAGCTTTTTAGTATGGTGTAATCCCAGCTGTTTATCTTTTCCTTAACTTTCTTTGCTTTGGGGGATGAGTCTTTAAAGATATTTCTGAGATATACGCCTTGTAGTGTTTTATCTATTCGATTCTATGTATTTTATGGTTTTAGATTTTATGTTTAATATTTTTATCCACTTTGAGTTGATTTTTGTGCATGGTGTGAGGTAGTGGTCTGGTTTCATTCTTTTGCTTATGGTTGCCCAATTTTCCCAGTACTATTTGTTGAACAAACTATCCTTGTTTAATTGCACATTCTTTGCTCCTTTGTCAAAGATTAGTTGTCCGTATATGTGCAGCTTTATTTCTGGGCTTTCTATTCGATTCCATTGGTTGTTGTGTATATTTAAGGTCCACTACCATGCCATTTTAATTATTATGGCTTTGTAGTATGGTTTGAGGTCTGGGAGTGTGATACCTCCATTATCCTTTGTTTTAGTCAGGAGAGCTTTGGCTATTTGAGGTTTTTGTGGCTCCATTTGAATTTCATCAATATTTGTTCTATTTCTTTGAAGAATGTCATTGAGATTTTAGCATTGAATCTGTAAATTGCTTTTGGTAGGGCAGCCATTTTGATAATGTTTATCCTTCCAATCTAGGAGCAGGGACTGTCTTTCCATTTCTTTGTGTTTTCTTCTACTTCTTTTAACAATGTATTACAATTTTCTTTGTATAAGCCCTTCACCTCTTTTGTTAGGTTTATTCAAAGTAATTGATTTTTTAATTTGTTTCAATTATAAAAGAGATGTTTTCTTGCTTATTTCTTCATATTGATTGTTTATATATAGAAATTGTATGTATATATGTGTGATTTTTGCAATTTGATTTTGTATCCTGCTACTTTACTAAATTGGTTGAATTTTTGGATTAATTTTCTGTGGAGTTTTTAGGGCTCTCTCTGTATTATCATATTGCCTACAAATAGTAATAGTTTTACTCCTTCTTTCCCTATTTGGGTTCTTTGTAGGTCCTTTTTATGTCTTAGTGTTCCAGCTAAGATCCAGTATTATATTGAAAAGCAGTGGTGAGAGTGGACTTCCTTGTCTTGTTGCTGATCTGATCTTGGGCTGTTATTAGCTCTGACCTTTTGTGAGTTACTCAACCTCTCTGAGCCCCTCTTTCTTTACTAGTGAATGGAGATAATAATAGACTTTACCTCATAGAGTTGTTGTGAGAATTAAGTGAATTCATATGTGTAATCTACTTAAAACAGTTCCCAGCACAAAAAAGCACTAAAAAAGTGTTTTCTAATATTACTTAATCTGTGGCATAGCACAAAATCTCATTATAAAAAAAGAAAAACAATTATACATAGTAATTTCTTAAAGATTTATTTATGCATACAGAATTGGGGTACAGGCCTAAGGTGTAGGGGCAGTGAGAGAATTCACCAGAGACAGAGTGGGGAGCACAACAGGCAGATCAACAAAGCACACTGTTAAGGGGAGCAGCAGGTGAGACAGGAGAGGTCTGCTGCGCCATGTGGGTCACTTCCAGGGCTGGGGATTGAACTTGCACTGAAGCCACTGTGGCTGGCTTACAGTGCTGTGTCCTAACCCACTGCACCATGAGGGAGGGCCTGCATAGTAATTTTTAAAAGATGACTGATTAGGTGATCTTGCTACTTATGGTTCTGACTGACACATTCAATCTGAAGATCTTTGTGTAATTTTTAGTAAATGCATCTTTAGGATAAAGGCTTAGCTCTTCATTGTCTTGTAGGATAAATAATTGTGTTGTGCCTTCATCTTCAAGTTCATTATCCACTATGTTCCCTCATCTATGCACCCTAGCCAAACTTACAATTGTTTGATTGCTCTCTCATACCATTTTCTTGTCCAGGTTAAAGCAAGCATACCTTTATCTACTTGGTATATTCATGCTTCTCCTCTACCTTGGTAACTCTCTCCAATGCTTGCATGTCTTTGCAAGACTCTTCAGAGGGAAGCCTTCCCTGACTTCCCTCAAGCTTCAAATCTTCCTCTTAGAAATCAGAAAGCCAGGCAGTGTCCTTTTCAAATGTTTGCCAAATCTTGGAGTTTGCTTATGTGATCATGTTTCTGTATCTCTTTTCTAATCCATTAGAAGATTTCCATGTCTGATTTCTCTCAATATGGCTCATCCATGCCTATATAGAGCCATATGTTTTTGTTTAATTAATAAGCCATTTTGGTGGGAAGGGGGTGGTATGGTGCCATACATAGATGTGAATTTATACCCCTAAATCATATACAGTGTTACTATGATAAAAAAAAAGAAAAGAAAAAATTGCAATAAGTAGATAAATAAAATTAATAAGCCACATATTTGGTGCAAAAAGTTGTATTGATCTTGCCTCCAATATTCCATTGCTATAAAGGCAAGATTAATTTTATAACCTAAGCATATATTGAACAAGTAATTGTTGTAGAACTAGTAATTACAAATCAAGATAATAAACACTTAATGAGTAGTTGTTATGTGCTGGGCTGTGCAACAGTTGTGTATCATAACACTAGAAGGCAGGTATTAGTAGTCCTTTCTACATGTGAAAGATAAAGATTTAGAGGAAGAGCCAGAGACAGGAGAGAAACTAATATTTTGAACTCTAGGGCCTATGCTCTTACCTATAGTGACTTACTACCTCTGGTAGCTTCCCATGATGCTCAGGCCTGGACCAGGTATGTCCATAAGCAGGAGGAAGAACTAAAGGTGAGATATTTAAGGGCAATGTGTGAGGGTAAGGAGAGAGAAGAGGTGATGGGGAGATTCACTGAGCATTTTGCTTTGATTTTGTGGCTCCAGTGAAACCAATTTTAGAGAGTTTAATGTATTTTCTTATGTAGAACTGTATGTAATACTGACTCTTTAAAAGGTTTATGGCACCAGTTCAGTTTTATTCTGTACATAAAGTTTTGAACATGAAGAGATTAAAGCAATGGCAAAACCTTAGAGAAATTACAGTATGTCACTGGAAGGAGTTAGATCAGCATGTCTCGAACTGCTATGAGTTAAAAGCTAAATGGATATATTTGTTTAAAAAGTGGGAAATCTAACTGGCAGAAACAAATGGAAGGAAACCCATTATTACAGAGCCCCTGCCACTAATCTTAACTCGAAAAGAACAACTGTAGGACCTGGCTCAGTAAATAGCAAAATCAGACCATTCAAAGATGCCATTAACAGCACAAGTGGCATTTTAGGGACTTGATTTTTCTAAGTGGAAGAGTGTATAATATTTAACTCAAACTACCTATTAATTCATTAAAGTCTTGTACTCTAATATGAGAGATATAACCATATGGTAAACATCCCTATTTTGCTACTACAAAAGCCTTGATAAGCAATAGCCTAGACATATCCTTCATTTTGTACTACACATGTATTCAAGAAAAAGTTTATGTAACATGCTTTAATAAGGTATGTGTACTTTAAACTCATGAGGGAAAAATAGCTCTTTAAAGGAATCTAAGAGGAATTTCTTTAAAAGGAGAGAATCTTTAATAATATTTATAAACTAACACTTTATTTCGTTGTGCTTTCTTTTAAATATGAATATTTGTGATTGAATTATTTTTTATGACACTCATATCTTATAAGGATGGTGATTGTAAAAAAATCAAAATACCCTAATAATATCAATTATTCTTACAGTAAAGATTAGAGTTTATTCCCTGAATGATGAGTTGAAGCCAGCCAAAAGAGAAACTGTCTTAACTTTCATAGTAAGTATGTTAGTTATTTAAGTAATAATTTAACTCAGATGCTCTGTTCCAGAACCCTACCCTAACACCACAGGAGCTTAATCAATGTTTACTAAATGGTACTGAACACCTTCTGTGAGTATAAAATTGTAGTTGTGTACATCTACAATAGGTATATGTAGAAAACTCATGAAAATTAAATCTCAACACTCATGCTTTTGAATAAATTCATTTAACTACTTTCTTACTGAATGCTGATGAGACCATAACAATTCAATATTTATTAAGTATGAGATTTTTTTTATTTCTATAATTCAAGATAAAGAATAACAACTCATGCTATTTGCACTTAAGGAGCTTATATATTAAGAAACTCCAGTTTGTCTATAACCCTGAAAAATCTGGGGGAGAGAAGGGGAGTAACTGCTCACTTATTAAAATAGGTGTATTTGTAACTATCCTTCACAATAGGACAAAGCCTTTTTCCTGTTACTCAAAAAAATTAAACAAAAACAACCTGGCTGAATGCAAGTGAAAAAGAGTGCTGTATGAAGAGGACAGCTTTGAATCCTTTATAACTTACAAAAAAATCATAAAGTTTTCATATCCAGCTACTTGTGATAATTAACTACTTGTGAAATATGAGAGTATTTTCAAGATTGTGGTTGATATCTATTGATAGTGACTGCAAACTCCAGGAATTCAAACAGATAAGGAAGTTTCCTGGGAGAAGTGAGATTCACAATGGGCATGGAATAATGAGTTGAATTTAGATGTGTACCAAAAAGGTAGGCAGATTGCAGAACATTGACAGCAGAGAGCAATTCAAGAGCAGAATCAGGATAAATAAGATTTGAACATTAGGATAAGATCAGAGACTTGGATAGCAATACCTAGAAGTTAAATTTTCTTGTGACAGATTGTAGGGAGTCCTGGTAGATTTATTATAAGAGACTAAGACAAAGGGTGGAAGGAAAGTGGATAGCCACAAGTGTTGCTGGAATAGAAAGGAAGGCATGCAGTATTTAAGTGGAGCCCTCTGGGCTGCCACATGGAGAGGTGTGGAGATGTTGGCACCAGGGGGAGTGCAGAAAAGAGGCCTCTCAGACTGTCTGAAAGAGAGTGAGGATAGGATACAGGTGAGAGTGGCATCAACAGAAATAAGGGAACTGCTTGACAGTGTGAGATGAATCTTAGAGCCCAGTGTAAATTTAGCCATTTATAACCATAGGTCTGCATGAGTTACTTTAAAGCAGGGTTCTGGGAGTCTTTTCCTTTGAAAGCCAAGATTTGAGTTTAGGTGATTAAACTTACATACAAGAGTAGATAGTGACAGAACAGAACCATTCCAGAGTATAAACCAAACAAATGATACAATAGGGCCAATGAAAGTTCAGCTCAGAGAAGTCAAAATCTGGTTGAGAATGAGCACTGATGCAACCCTTTCCTGGAATACAATATGATGTTAAAGAAACATTGAACTGGACTTCAATGAAAGAAATAGACTTTTTAAAAAATAATATGTAAGATACATGTAAGAAACAGCATGAGTTAAGCTATGATTTCAGGAAGAAGTAAGAAGTGAGGATAGGATAAAACCTGCCTGAGCGCTCTTAAAAGTCAGGAATTTGACAAAGGAAAGAAAGTGTCAAAGGAAAGGAAGATCTGTTTTTGACAGATTTAGAATCATAGCTAAATATCTTTCTGCCTGCTCTTCATGCCTGCAGTTCTTTATGTACAGAATTTCAAGTTTGTATAACCATTCTGACTCTCCTATTAAGCTCAAAATAGCCATGTGCAGTTATAAAACTTCTAGCTAATAAATGCAATCTGTACTGTAACTGTTGGAAAGCTTCAAATGAGCAAATACCCTTTCCCATCAGAAAATATTAGTGGGTGTGGACAGCTGTTCTGTATCCCAGTTCCTGTCTCTCTCTCTTTGTGAACTCAAATGATGTAGGATCCTGGCAGCACACAAGGAAGAACAAATGCATGTCATTCCCTGTAAGGGGAGTTTGAGGGATCTAGTTTTAGGGTAGTGAGGAGTTATTGTACAGAAAGCGTCCTGAAAACAGTACTCCAGAGAGATGATCTGGGAGTTCTGTACATAAAGAACTGCAGGCAGAAGGATATTTAGCTATAATTCTAAATCCTGTCTAAAACAGACCTTTGTAACTAAAGAAAAAAGTATTAAAATTCTAGCCATGAATTTTACAGTCATGGCACATTGTTATAAGTTTCTGGGTGAAGGCCAAAATGGACCTCCATATATAGTCAAAAAAAGTAAACAAATGAACCAACAAAAGAAACCTCATTTCAATAATTTTCAATCCACACACAAAAGGAATTCTATGGGGAATTCCTTGTGAAAAGTTTCAAGTTTATGTATCATTCTGACTGTTTTATTAAACTCAAAATAGCCATGTGCAGTTATAAAACATCTTGCTAATAAATGCAATCTGTATTATAATTGTGTTGGAAAGCTTCAAATGAACAAATATGAAATTTAGATTCTGGTATCTAGAAAGCCTTTGGTTATTTGGTTATTATAACATCAATTATTGTTACACTTCTTTCTTTAGTGACACATTAGAGAGCTGAGTTTCTTCTTGATAACTGAGACCAGAATACCCTGGACACTCTTTATTTTTCATTTGGTGAGGCAGGAGACGAAAGGTCCAAAAAGAGAGAGGGAGTTGATTTAAATGAATCTGTCTTCCACAATATTTAAGTGATCTTCTTCCTCCATATTTAATTCGAAGGCATGTATAGTTGTGGGTAATATTTTTGTACATCAAAGATAATGATCAGTTAGATATTTTAATGTAGCTTATGTGCAGTAAAATTGTTTGTCTTTATTCAAAGGATCCCGAAGGATCAGAAGTTGACATTGTAGAAGAAAATGATTATACTGGAATTATCTCTTTTCCTGACTTCAAGATTCCATCTAATCCTAGGTATTTTGAAAGTATTTGTTAATAAAGTTTTCTCTAAAAAGCACATCTGGAACTTTTGGGTTGGAGGCTGATATTATGTCAAATTGAGTTACATAGTGTTAACAGAGAGTGCCAGTGAGAAAGACATGAAAACAGACAAAAGTATTTTCAGGTCTAATGAGAAATTAGGCTCAGTTGCTGTCCAGTAAAATCCCCCAACAACTTGCAGTATTCCTTGTGAATCCTCTTCACACATAGAAATAAAAATTTGGAAGATACAAAAATAGTCCCCAGTCTTTTATTTTTTTAAATTGAAAACATCAGCCTTCTGCCCTTCAAGAAATGCGATAGATTATCAACCCTAAAAGACTGGTGTGGTCTCATGCCTTGCTCCAAGAGTTATAAAAATATTGATCAGGGCCCTCCCTGGTAGCGCAGCGGGTTAAAGCACTGCACTAAGAAGCTTAAACCACTTTCGCATGAGTTCGATCCCCGCCTGCCCAGGAGGTGACCACATGGCG